AGACTTTCCTCCTTCTTTCAAAAGGATTTCGACACCTTGTGGTAAGAGGAAGGTGAACGTTACAACGAATGGGTTTACAAATCTCAACCGACACCTAATGTGAGCCACACTGCTCCCTGGTCAAGAAGGTGGCAAAGTCTAGCAAAGGCCCTTAATGACCATCATCATATCTTGCTGTCAAAGGGGTGAAAGCAAGAAAGGGCTCCATTCTATTGGGATGGCCTGCCAACTGCAACAACCTCTCAGCAATTACTGATGCGACTTAAGGTCAAACGAGAGGTCCTTAGCTGAGGTGGAATTAGAATTAGGTTTATTGTCATGTGTACCAAGTACAGGAGCACAGTGAAAGGTTTGCAATGTCGCCTCTTAGGGCGCCATCTTACGTACAAAGTACAAATCTTAGATACAAGGGGCACTCAGTGAGTGACCACTGTACTGCTCCCGAAGAGGGTGGGGAAGCAGAGTGGAAAGTGGAAGGAGGGAGGACAACCTGCGAGTGAAAAGAAATTTAAAGGAAAAAGAAATGAATCTCATAGATCTCAGGCAGCCATACCGTGTCCTGCTTCAAATTTAGACTGCTGAACGGTTCAGTTAAAACATGCACAAGCAACTGACAGAGATTAAATATTAAGTAGTGCCGCCCTTGTGCTAGAACAACACATTACAAAGCTCAGGGACAGAAGAAATATCAACGGAGCACATCAGAATGTAAACTATATTGAAAGGGGCAGGTTCTTAGGATACGACAAATGATGTGGCATTTGGATTACTTAGGATGAATTGAATTTCAAACTGTGCCCTGAAGATAGATGTGCTTTGGAAGATGTTTCGGTAACAGAATTTACATATGTCTGTTGCAAATGAAGCGAACTCATAGCCACAAGCGCCAAGCAGCAGAGGCTTTCCCATTAGCTCCATGCCCGTAGAAACAAAGTACTTGGCATATGATGTATTCCAAACAGAAAGGATATTATACACTGATGTAGAGTCACTACTCTGGATGCCTCCTGGGTCTCAAGGTCCAGGTGTCCAAGGCAAGGGTTTAAAAGATACCGCCTGTTCCTCTTTCCCCAATTACTGAATAACATAGTCCAGTCAAGTCTATACAACGGCTTTGAAAACAAATGGAGGAGTAATTCTGCATCTACAAGGCAGCTGTCACAACCTCTGAACATCCCACAGAATATAAAGCTCCTCCAATTCTGGTTCCTTGAGCAGCTGTGATTTTAAGAGGTCATGCCTTCCACTGCCTGAACCTCAAGCGCGGTAACATGTTCTCTACACCCTTCCATTTCACTTTCTTTCTTTTAGGCCCTTATTGAAAATCTTCCTTTTAGACCACATTTTTGATCTTCAGGTCTAATATCTCCTAAAAACTCTCGGAAGTGCCTTCTAGTGGTTTACGATGTTTAAAAAAGTGCTATACAAGTTGTCTATTATTGGACACAGCTATTTTTGTATTGCAAGGAAACAGCAATCAATTTGCAGACCACGTGACAAGGGTGAGATAATTTACTTTTCTAGAGCCACACTGGTTGAGGCATAAATGTTGGTCAGGATCTGGTAGATGCAGGGGTCTCATAAAAATATAAGAAATAGACCAGGAGCAGGCCCCTCAAGCCTGTCCTGCCACTCTAACGTATCATGGCTAATTTGCCCCAGGCATCAACTCTTTTTTCTGGCCACCTCCTTACTGCCCTCAACTCCCTGATATTTCAAAAATCTACCTACGTCCTTTTTAAATACTTTCATTGATCTCGCCTCCACAACTCCCTGGGGTTGAGAACTCCTGGTGTTCACTTCCCTCCAGGAGAAGAAATTCCTTTTCATCTCAGTTACAGAATAAGGGGCCATTTATTTAAAACTATGCACCGGTTCAAAGTTCCTTCAAGAGTGGAAACATCTCAACATCTATCTTGTGTAACCCCCTCCGAATCTTAGGTTTCAACAAGATCGCCTCCTTTGTTCTTCGAAACTCTCAATTAATGAAGGCCTAACCTGTTTGGCTGTTCTTGATGCATCAACCCTAAGTAAGTCTCTTTCAAACTGCCTCTAATGCCAGTATATTCTTCCTTAAATACGGGGACTAAAACTGCACAGCATTCTCCAGTTGTTCTTTAATAGCCTGTGTAGTTGTAACAAAGCTTCCCTATTTTTAAGCTTAAACCCCCAGCAAAAACTGCCAAAATTCTATTTGTCATCTTAATCACTTGCTGCACCTACATTTTAACTTTTTGTGTTTAATGTGAAAAAACATCCAGATCCCTCTGTTGAGCCTCTCTTCATTTAAATGACAGTATGCCTTTTGATTCTTCCTTCTAAAGTGCATGACCTCACACTTTCCTGCATTAAACTCCATCTGCCAAGATTTTGCCCACTCGCTCAACCGATCCATAGCCCCTGGCAGATTCCTCCTGTTCTCATCACAACATGCCTTCTCGATTATACTTAAATCAAAAACAAATGTTGATGCATTGTACTCTGCCCCTCATTAATGTAGATGGTAAATAATTGAGGCACTAGGACTGATCCTTGGGTACTCCACTAGTTAGGTTTCTCCAACCTGAAAAAGGATAATTAATACTGACTCTCAGTCTTGTGCGTGTTAATCAATCCTCACTCCAATGGTAATCCATTGCTGTGAGCTCCTATCTGGTTTAACTACCTTTTATATGGTTGAATGTCTTAAAGAAATCCAAATATACTGCATCAACCAGTTCCCCTTTATCAACAAAGAACTCTAGCAATTTGCCAAACATGATTTCCCTTTCACAAAACCACGTTGACTCAGTTTGACTGCATTCAGCTTTTCGAATTGTCCTGTTATTTTTTCCTTAATGATGGACTTGAGCAGTTCCCCAATTAGATGTTAGGCTAATTGCTTACAGTTCCCTGCTTTCAGTCTCCCTCCCTCCTTTGGGCAGGGATGTCACATTAGCTGCTTTCCAATCTGCTGGAGCCCTCCTAGAGTCTTGAGTTTTGGAATATTTTAACCAATGCCTTCACTCTCTTTACAGCTCCCTCTTTTAAAACCCATGGATGAAATCCATCAGGTGCTGGTGACTTGATCACCTTTAGGTGCACTTGTTTATTGCTTGTGACAAAGACTGTCACAAGACCTTGGCAAGGTCAGATCTGAGAGATGACATTTCCAACAACGAAGTGAAAGTCGTCATGAATCCCAGAGGACCATAGGCTACTCTCTTGTGAGACAGAGCTGACTGTTTGAGCATTTAACTCAAGAGTCACTGCACTGTAGGTAAAGGGCGAGGTCAAGAAGGAAAAGCATTCAAGGGTGATCTGAATACGGGAATTGAACCCTCGCTATTGAGAGTCACAAACCAGCCATCCAACCTACTGAGCTAACGGAAACCTGACCTTTACTCAGCACTCCACTCGATGGCATGGGTAAGGCCCAACACACTGTCTCAGGCAGGACAAACCAGAGCATTTGCCAAGAGTGCAGAGTGTAAAAGGTAACATAAGCTTTGCAGCCTTTAAGGTAACATTGACATGCCTCTGTTTCTCTCTGTAGATTAATTATTAGCATCAATTCATTCTCACCCTTACTCTTGTGCACAAATCCTCCATTCCATAGCAACATTATTTGAGGCAGCAAGCAATTAGGCTGTTGGCTTAGGATACCCTACAATCAAATGCCTTAGGGGCTGGGAGTGAGTAGCCCTATTACTTTGTCAGAAACCATGTCAATCTTGCTCAGCTCACAGAGGATGTCCACAGAAAAGTTAAGTTCCAACACTCTGTTTATCTGTGATTTACAGTGTACCAAGCTTAATATTTACATAGGAACACAAGGTATAGGACAGAAAGGGAACATCACGATCCACCTGTCCACAAAACACTGTCTCTCCCTCTTAGATGTTTCAATCTCATGCTCTACTGGACACTCCAACAGTGCTGTTCTATTAAATAATCTCCTTGGTGGGACAGGCAACAGTTACAGCTTTTAACGGCTGAGAAAGTACATTCAGTTCTTCAAGCATTCGGGAAAGACAACCACATCTCTGCGCTGTCCTCTAAGTGAAAAGAATTCCCTGCGCTCTGGGACAGTCAACCGAATACTCAAGAGCAGAATTTCTTATTTGCTTGGTGCAGGAGGATCCCAAATCATTTCTGCGAACTCCTATTGCATTCGCCCTGTAGTGACCATTTTATTTTTGCTGGACATTAACGTCAATTCTGTTTTGCTCTTTTCCTAAATGGAGGACGCAATGTACCAGGTTACGGCCCAAATTAAATACAGATTCTCCAACCTATGCGGCACGTTGCAAGACTTCCCTAATCTCAACCATCTGCCGGGCTCCAGCCTGATAAGTGCAAAGCAGTGTGAAACAAAAGTACAGTCAAAAAAAGCTCAGCAGGTCACTATTTCCTGGCAAGGACCTGTGTAAGAACAAGAGGAGTTATTTCCTTCCCCTTACTGAATACCCCGAGTCTGTGCTGTGTGTTAGCTACACTCTCCTGAAAAGTCAGTCGGCTGGAGAAATACAGTGGCCTTAAGAGCTGTCTTCCAGCCTTTCCTCACTACCTTGGCCTACACCATTGTCCAACAGCAGACCACTGATCAATAGCAAGAGTGGGACCCTACTAACTTCTGCTGCCAATCCAGCATGGATCAGCCATTTAACCTGATTCTCCAGAACAGTATGACCCATCCCCAAACACAATTTTCCTGCTATGTTTTCTTTTGGCTATTTTGTCCAATTAGTGCAAGGATTTGTAGAATGGGAGACAATTCCTGAGAAGCTCAGAGTGAGCACAGAACAGGAGCTGTGCGTATAACACATAGCTGAGCATGATCACACCAGGCCATCTGTATCAGTGGGGAAATGGTGGTGATCGCTTGTGAGACCTTGCAGTCACACAGTCTGGTATGGTACGGAACAGTACGGTGACAAAGCATTTGGCTGTAATGTAGATCTGAATCAGCTGTCCGCTTTTATCCTCTCTCTCTTTCTCTCACACGCACACTCACTCACCTCTGGGCTCTTCGGCTTGTTTGGCGAGTTTGCGGAGTGCGGCTGCAAAGCTGGCAGAGTGTGCTGACGGTACCGACAAGGTGCTGTTAGCTGCCGGGCTGCCATTGGGCACTATGGAGCCATTGAGAGAGGATGGGTTGAGGGGGCTTACGGTGGCTGTTGTCCGAGTCGCGGTCGAGATCATTCCCAGTGAAGGTGACTTTGGCTCATGGCTCATGCCTAGAGGTTGGTGATGGTGAGGGATTGGAGGTGGGGTGGGGGGGGGGGGGGAAAGAAGGGGGGGGGGGAAAAAGAACAAAAAGGAGAGAACAAAGATTTAGATGGCGGGGGAAGAGCTGAAACCTTCCTTCTGCAATGCACGACTAGGTTAAGTGAAAGCAGGACAATATGCTTCATATGCAGTAAGGTGTTGTATTTATAGCATTGTACTGCTTGATGATTTTTAACCAAGACTCTAATTTGTGCATACCTTTGGAAGAGCTACATTAAGAGGTAATAAGCTAAGCTTTGAAATAGAAAGTGGTAATGCACACGTAAATATTGTGGTCACCCATGAAACAATACACACTGGCACACACAAAAAACCCACCACATTCATGTTCACATACTCAGATACATTATACATGCGTGCACAAACACGTATACACACACGCACACAAAGACCCATCTGGACTGCATTTAAGATAGATAACACTAGCATTTTGTCAAGCTGGAGCAGGCAGCCTATTGAGCAGGTTTACAAGCAAATCAATTTCGACATGTGACCCTCGGCGTCCTCTCACATCAAACACGATACTAATTACACTTTCTCATGAACCTGTGACAGGCAAGTGTTGGCACCAGTTTGAGAAATAGCTGTCTCTGGGAGTACAGGACCAAGGGATCATATGCCCTTCGTCCACCTTGTGGCCGATACATTACAGACAGTGACAGGCAAAAGCTGAAATGCAAGCATTGAAGGGAACTTAGGATTGCTTCAATCTGTTGGAGTGTCAATAGAATATTTCTGCATTTTCTTTCAAATCACATACAACTCAATGTCCTTAAGCCAAGAGGGCTTAGAGTCATAGAGTGGCACAGCATGGAAACAGACCCTTCGGTCCAACCAGTCCATGCCAACCATGTTCCCAAACTAAACTAGTCCCACCTGCCTGCATTTGGCCTATATCCCTCCAAACCTTTCATATCTAAAAGACATTTTGATAAGTACATGCATGTTGTAACTGTACCCATATCCACCACTTCCTCTGGCAGTTCATTCCATGTACATATAAAATACAAAATTAGCTAGCTTTTGCATGAGACCAATCAGCAGGAAAGATCTGGCGTAGCAGGAGATGGTAAGGGTGTGATCAAGAGAGCACAAGTAAGGGTTGACATACGGCTGGAAGATGATGGAGCATGATACTTCTCCTAGTCCCACAAAAGTCTTAACATCTAAGGAAACATCAACTTTTTTCTGAGCAGCTCCTGATACAATTCCCTCAGCCAGTTGCTTGTTTTCAGGCCAAGAAAGTTAGAAGCATCAACCACGCTTGCGTAGTTCTAGGCTTCATGGGTTTTCTTTTTTAACAGTTTAATTTTTGTGGCAGCTCAACATAAAGCACAACAAAAAAATGATCATATTCCAAATGGGTTGGAATGTTAACCCTGGACTGTGACATTATGCTGCTAGGGTACATCACTCAGAGCAGTCTTTACTTTGGTTCACACTACCAGAAAGCAATGGAAGTGAGTGAGGTCGAGTTATAAACAGGCCAATCAAACTCATTTCACACAAAAATTATACAAAATGCCCAAGTTATCACAGAACACCAGACTAAAACATGGATAGGTTCCTCAAATACCTGTCCAACTAACTATCCGAATTTATGGAATCAGCTTCCACATCGCATGTAAACAAAATGAGGGAAAATTTTCCCTGCATCTCTCAGGGATCATTTGACAGCAATTTTAATCCTATGACTAGTTTTATGATTACTGCTATAAGATGGCTATATTTCAAACTGTCTCCTATAGTATAGGGTATAAGAGAATTTGAATTGGAGAATGGTGTGAATGTGTGTTAAACTCTGCCCGGTGACAACCCCATGTGACCTGATTGCTATAGAGATGGCGGCCCAATACAAGATCTATTGGAAGTCTAGTGCGAGCTTTAACACCTGGAGACAAAGGAGAAAATGGCTATTCCTGCTGCTTGCAGACTCTCAAAGGCAGACTAAGAGTTAGGGGAAAACATCTATGGTAGATACTGCTGTGGCAGGCAGAAGAAAAGTTTCTAAGTTAAGCTCCAAGCAGAATGCAGGTAAGGATGGAATACCAGTCTGAGGAAAAGACGCTGATGGACAATGGAAAACCATGGAATCATCAGAGTATACTTTGCGATGGGCAGTGCATTTGATTTACACAAAGGGTTGAGTGAAGGAAACTTTGTATTTGAAAGGACAGTAGAATATCTGCTTTCATGAAGCAAGGAGAAAGGATCCTACTAGTGCTGGCCAGAGGATTTGGATTTAATACCCAAGACTGTCTGTTTACACAGTGTGCCATATGTAAATATGGTGTGGGATTTTTGGTTGCAACTTAAGGAAGGATGCCTTTTCTCTACTTAAGTGTTTTGGGTGCCTACTAAGTAATATTCATTGATGCTCATCTTAGCTGATTGGTTTCGGTTCAAATAGGAAATTGTGAAATTCTGTCATGGTAATTTTTTTTACACGGTCACTGGAAATGTCATACCTCTTTTTACAAGTTATCAGTCTCTACGGGGGTTGTAGCACTCATCTGGCTATTGACTCATTCACCACAAAAATTATCTTTTATTCAGCCTACTCTTTTGAAAACTCTCATCAACTCAAAACCTTCTGTTAGGTCACCTCTTACCCCTTGACCAGCCTGGAAAACAAGACAGTGGGAAGTGAAGAACGAGCTGTGCATGAAGCAGCAGTACAGTTGGTAAGAAGGGAAAGTCAAAAAGTTCAAGGATCAAGGATCAAGGATCAAAGGAATGGTGGAAAGTTAGGCAGCGGGAGGGGAGGGGAGGGGAAAGCTGTGTGTGCGAAAGAGACCAAGGCAGCAATCCTCAAAACAGAAACTGAAATTCGCTGGAAAAGCTCAGCAGGACTGGCAGCATCTGGGGAGAGAAGTTAGAGTTGACTTTTCAGGTCCAGTGATCCTTTCTCAGAACTATCGAGCAATCCTCAATTATGGAAGGGGAGACATACAAAAAGAGAATGGCGCCCACAGAGGAAAAATTGAGAGAATGCAACATTCAAAATGCTAGCGGGGACATCTGAATGCATGGAATTGTAGAATTCCTACATTGTGGAAGCAGGCCATTCAGCCCATTGATCCACACCGACCCTCTGAAGAGCATCCCACTAAGACCCACAATCCTACCCTGTCCCTGTAACACTGCACATCCTAAAGTTAACCCACCTCGCCTGCACATCCCTGGGCACTATGAGGCAATTTCCCGTGGCCAAATCCACCTAGCCTGCACACCTTTGGACTGTGGGAGGAAACCGGAGCACCCGGAGGAAACCCACGGAGACATGGGGAGAATGTGCAAACTCCACATGGACAGTCACCGAGGCTGGATTCAAACCCGGCTCCCTGGTGCTGTGAGGCAGAAGTGCCAATCACTGTGCCACCGTACTGCCCCAAGGTGGGGGGTGGAGTGGGCAGGCAGAATGGCAACGTTTAGAGAGGAGGAGTGGAGAAGGGAACAGCAAGTACTGTGGGGATGGTGGGGAGCTTAGACAAACAGAATCCAGAAATTCAAAGCCAAATGACATCCCATTTCAGGACTTTGTTGCAATGGCATTGGATATATATATATGTAGGCATTCCAACAAATAATTCATGGTAGTTTTGATGTGGTGCACCAGTAGTTGGCAGAAATGGATATCCCTTCAGTGACAGCTCAAAGAGGTAGCAAAAGAACTCCACAGGAAAACCCTATGATTCCCTCAGTACATGTGGTGATATTGAGCCACATAGGCTGGCAACCAGCAGGGCTGAGGCCTGGTCAGTCATGGGATGGGGTTGGCATTGAAGAGGGAAGACAAGGAGAGGGCAAAAAAACTCAACTCTTCCTCACCAGCTTTGCGAGATGAAGAAAGAATATTGCAACAGTTGAGGAGAGCCCACCTCCCTGCTCCTCACTCCTGGGTCCCTGACCAGAGTGCACGAGTAGACACCGGATATCAGTGAGGCGCTGGATTAATTTTTACATATGAGAAATAATTGCCAGAAAGAGTTCACAGAAAACCACCATCACTTTAAACCGTAGCTCAGGATGAATCATTAATGAAAAGGACAACAGGGTGAAAACACTGGGAGGGAGAATTAACAGAAAGCTGATTTCCTCTGACAGCTTATTTAGAGATTCATTAACGAACAAAACAAAAATACATTGCAGATAACAAGGTGTAGAGCTGGATGAACAC